TGCATGGTCAGTCTTCCGTTCTCCCTGTGAAAGAAATGCCTTTGGACAGTGAAGCAAACGGAGTGCCAGGAAATCACAGACTGTCCTATCTCTTTTCGGCATCTCTCCCACCAGGGAATGGGGGGCCACCCCAGAGCTCCTGCAACATGGTGGTGGATCTTGGGGGGGGGCAATCTCCCAGTAAAGAGTGGAGATCTAGCCTTTTCGTGCCCCTTTTAGATTCCCTGACACTACAGCTGCCGCGCCGAGTCTGGTACATCAGGTAGCTCTAGGAATTACCAGGAACTCTATAATTTACCATAGAGCATGGGAATGCTGTATGTTCTACCATAGAGTTTCTGGCAATTCCTAGAGCTATCTGATGTAGATCTAGCCTTTTCATGCCCCTTTTAGATTCCCTGACACTACAGCTGCCGCGCCGAGTCTGGTACATCAGGTAGCTCTAGGAATTACCAGGAACTCTATAATTTACCATAGAGCATGGGAATGCTGTATGTTCTACCATAGAGTTTCTGGCAATTCCTAGAGCTATCTGATGTCACTCCAGGCTTTCTCTGGAAGTGACGCTGTGGTGCGTACAACGCCGATGTGTTTTTTCTTCTCTTGAGGGCTGCTGTCAGGAGGCCTTCCACTGTGGTGGGAGGCCTGGCTGCCTTACTTGGCACCTGCCCCCAACAGTTGGGATTGTTGTTGGCGGCCCTGTTGCACCATCCTCTGTTGTCTGAGGTGAGGTGGACTGGGACAAGTAGCAGGGTCTTCTCAGCTGTGGCACCCTGCCACTGAAAGTTGGGAGCTCACACCGCAGGGATTCCAAAGTTGATCCTAATAATTGAGGTGGGTTCGTACAGGAGGAGGCAGTCCCTTTCCCCTGCCTGGCCAACTGATTAGGTTTTAACTTGATGTCCTGATCTCTGGTGTTTTGAGGTGGTTTTTCCCCCTGGCTTTGCAGAACGTCCAGGCCTACCGGCGGCGCAGCCTCGTGGAGAAAGAGCTGCTCTTCTTTGGCTACGATGTCTTTGGGATTCCTTTTGTGGACCCGGTGAGTGGTGACTCCTGCGATCCTGTCGTTGGGTCAAGGGACTGGGGCAGGTTGCCATGAAAGAGGTGCGCCCCACGCAGCTTACAGTATCCCTTTTGACAGCTGAGGAAGAAGACGTAACTGTGAGCAAACAATCCATGCTCAGGGCAACCCTGACCTGGATAGCCCAGGCGAGCTCGATCTCATCAGGTCTCGAAAGCTAAGCAGGGCCGACCCTGACAGGTACCCGGAAGGGAGACCTCCAAGGAATACCAGGGCTGGGACGCAGACGCAGGCAATAGCAAGCCGCCTCTCTGAAACGTCCAAGCCCCACTAGGGGTCGCCGGAAATCAACCATGACCTCCAGGCATATACACACACACGAAATATTCACCACCCCCACCCAAAATCCATTCTCAGGGCCAAAGTATGCACAATATTGGGGATCAGTTTCTCCCCCCTACCCCCCCCCCGGTGTAATTTTAGCTCCAAAATAAGCAGCTGGGGTGGGAGAGATGATACAGTATGAGATGGGATTGCAGGAGAGGGACAGTTAACTTTTTCCCAGCAAAAAATACATATGCCTCGAAAACCCCAACACTGGGTGAAAATATGCTCACTATGTGGATATTTGCCTTTAAGAACATAAGAACATAAGAGTCCCCCTGGCTTTGCAGAACGTCCAGGCCTACCGGCGGCGCAGCCTCGTGGAGAAAGAGCTGCTCTTCTTTGGCTACGATGTCTTTGGGATTCCTTTTGTGGACCCGGTGAGTGGTGACTCCTGCGATCCTGTCGTTGGGTCAAGGGACTGGGGCAGGTTGCCATGAAAGAGGTGCGCCCCACGCAGCTTACAGTATCCCTTTTGACAGCTGAGGAAGAAGACGTAACTGTGAGCAAACAATCCATGCTCGGGGCAACCCTGACCTGGATAGCCCAGGCGAGCGCAATCTCATCAGATCTGGAAAGCTAAACAGGGCCGACCCTGACAGATACTCGGAAGGGAGACCTCCAAGGAATATCGGGGCTGGGACGCAGAGGCAGGCAATAGTAAGCCATCTCTCTGAAACATCCAAGCCCCACTAGGGATTGCCAGAAGTCAACCATGACTTCCAGGCATGCACACACACACGAAATATTCACCACCACCACCCAAAATCCATTCTCAGGGCCAAAGTATGCACAATATTGGGGATCAGTTTCTCCCCCCTACCCCCTACCCGGTGTAATTTTAGCTCCAAAATAAGCAATTGGGGTGGGAGAGATTATTAACAGGGCTCTTTTTGTAGAAATAGCCCAGCAGGAACTCATTAGCATATTGGGCCACACCCCTGACAGCACTGTTCATTAGCACATTAGGCCGCACCCCCATGTTACCAGAAGTGTGGTCATACAGCCACACCCACCTTTTGCTTGCTATTCTGTTTACCTTGTTTGTTGTCCAAACCCAGGGCCTTTTTTTGTAGCAGGAACTCCTTTGCATGTTAGGCCACACTCCCCTAATGTAGCCAATCCTAATGAGTTTCTGCTGTTGGGTGTGGCCTATTATGCTAATGAGTTCCTGCTGGGCGTGGCCAACTCAGGAGCCAGCCGAACTCCGTTCCTGTGCGTTTCTGCCCAAAAATAGCCCTGCAGTATGAGATAAGATTGCAGGAGAGGGACAGTTAACTTTTTTCCCCAGCAAAATATACATACCCCTCAAAAGCCCCAGCACTGGGTGAAAATATACCCACTATGTGGATATTTGCCTTTGTTTCCTGTTGACTAGAAAGAAGTAGCCAAATCGCTGGCTCACTACTTTAATGCCAGTAGCTCACAAAGTAGAACTTTTGCTCACAAGACTCCACAGCTTAGAGGGAACATTGGTCGTGGCCTCCATCCATGTTCTCCCCGCACTCCCAGTGGCTGCATTTTTTCAAGTTAGTTGCACATCAAAAGATTCTATCATGGATCCCCATTGCACTTTTGGTCTGAGGCTTCTTTCTGGGTGCACATGGGATGCACATAGATTCAGCCATCAAGCGCATACCATCCTACCCTCCAGAGAGCTTGGGGTGGGGGGGACCTTTTCCTGGTCGGCAGCAGAAGCTGGATTTCCTCAGCTCTTATTGGCCATTGCACTAGCTGGAACTACCTGTCTCGCAGCAAGGTCTGATTGGCTAGCGTCTGTCACCAAGCCAACCCCACTACAAGAAGATTTTTAAGCAGTGTTAAAATGGTCCTCCAAAAAAAAAGAGAGAGAGGGCATCAGTAGACACAATGGAAAATAGAAATGAAGCATCCAGCCTGCCTAAAGTGTGATAGAGATAATCCATATTCCGTTCGAAACCAAGGTCTTGCCTTTTTGCGGGAGCAAAGGTGGGACCCTGCAGCCGAAACACCCACATCCGTTCCTGGTTCCACATATATCTGTTTGTAGCCGCATGTTCTGGAGCTGCGGTGGCTCAAGTGGTTAAGACGCTGAACTGCAGGCTGTGGAAGGTCGGTAGTTCAGCAGTTTGAGATCCGGGTGCCGCATGACGGAGTGAGCTCCTGTCTCCAGTTCCAGCTCCTGCCAACCTAGCAGTTCGAAAGCAAGAAATTGCAAGTAGATAAATAGGTACCACTTTGGTGGGAAGGTAACAGCGTTCCGTGCGCCTTGGTGTTTAGTCACGCCGGCCACATGACCACGGAAACGTCTTCGGACAGCACTGGCTCTTCAGCTTTGAAACGGAGATGAGCAACGCAACCCTAGAGTCGGATTCGACAGGCTTTCGAGCAAGGGAAACCTTTACCTTTACTTTAGCCGCATGTTGGAGGTGAGGCCGAAATAGTGGAGCCCAAGGCTTTCTGGGAAACTTGGCCTTTGGGAGAGCTTTGGACGGAGGGGGAGCAGACAGGCTCCACAGAACGGTTCAGGAAATCCCTTCGTTTACCTCACCCCCTTTTGTTTTCAAGGACACGTGGACCCCCGAGGCGGTAATTCCCAAGCGGCTGCGAGAGAAACAGAAGTGAGCCCTTCTGAATTGCATGCACTTGCTAATGCTGTCTCCACCCCAGGTTCTTTTCTTTCTTAGTATGGAGTTGCATTTGATCACTGGGGGAACTGAGCTGGACAGACGGATAGATGTGCACACCCATTTCTGTCGCAGGCTCTCCAGGGCTGAGGTGGCTTCAGGCAGAAACAGCCAAGTTTCCCATGAGCTCAGACTATGGGAGGGGTTTTTTTTTGCTATTTGCCACCTTGTGAAAACATGACATATAGCTCATTGTGGCACACATGAAGCCCCCATGAGAGCAAATAGCACCCACCCAGGGTTGTTTCAGGTTGAGGAAAGTAGCGCGGGAGGGAAGGCATAAGTATGGAATGTTTAAAAACATGCAAATAATATTTTCACACTAAAGTCGTGAACAATATTGAACAGTATTTTTGAATTCACTGTTGTGAATACCTCGTAACAAGGCATTCTATTGGGTTCACTAGATCGTACACGGTGTGTTCCATCACTTACTATAGTTGTTCCACCGTGGTTCGCATACATTTACCCTCTCTCCGAGAGCTGTGACTCTGATCTGAATGGGGCCTGCAGATGGCTGAGACACATGAAATCTCAGGATGTGCCTCCCCACCTAACCTAGGGACATCACTGGGGAAAATGTAATGTGTAGCTCAGGGCTTTTTTGTAGAAAAAGCCCAGCAGGAACTCATTAACATAATAGGCCACACCCAACAGCAGGAACTCATTAGCCTATTGGGCCACACCCCTGACAGCACAGCTCATTAGCATATTAGGCCACACCCCCACGTTACCAGTAGTGTGGTTATCCAGCCACACCCACCTTTTGCTTCTTATTCTGTTTACCTTGTTTGTTGTCAAAACCCAGGGCTTTTTTGTAGCAGGAACTCCTTTGCATGTTAGGCCACACACCACTAATGTAGCCAATCCTAATGAGTTCCTGCTGTTGGGTGTGGCCTATTATGCTAACGAGTCCCTGCTGGGCGTGGCCAACTTGGAAGCCAGCTGGAACTCCGTTCCTGTGCGTTCCTGCCCAAAATTAGCCCTGGGTTCACTAGATCGTACACGGTGTGTTCCATCACTTACTATAGTTGTTATTCCACCGTGGTTCGCATACATTTACCCTCTCTCCGAGAGCTGTGACTCTGATCTGAACGGGGCCCGCAGATGGCTGAGACACATGGAATCTCAGGATGTGCCTCCTCACCTAACCTAGGGACGTCACTGGGGAAAATGTAATGTGTAGCTAGACCCACAGAGATACGTGCACATCACTTGGTCTCATGCATTCCCCTCCCTTCATCTGCTTTTAACGCTAAGTTGAGGGTCACACTGGAGACCTCGGATGCTGACCAAATGCATCACTCTTGACTGTATGCGGTCAATGACAGGAGAGGGAAGCCGCACCCCAGAATTAGCTTCCTGATCCTTTACCCCTCATTCTTCCCTTGCCGGCGGTGCAGTCAAAAGGGGATCGACTTGATTTCGGCAGAAATATTATTGGTTTCCTGTCCTCCTTGGAACTCCTGTTCATTCTCCACTGTCCCTGGCTTTTCTCTCTGCCGCCCTCTCTGTTCTCTGGTGGGGCTGAACCCCCCCCCCCCCCACTTCCTCTCTGTCCTCCAGGGTGGAGCGTGAGACGGCAGCCCGCATCTCGGAAGAGATCGGGAATCTCATGAAGGAGATAGAGACGCTGGTGGAGGAGAAGACCAAGGACTCCACGGATATGAGCAAGCTTGTGCGGGAAGGTAGGGGGAGAGGAGAAACTGGCTATGAGAACATGGGGGCTGTTGCGTTGCAATTCCTGCTTGCAGGTGCTGCACGTTTCTCTTGAGTAAGACCATCCCTCCCTACTCCTTGGTCTCCCCTCCCCACCCGCAGGAGGCCCCTTGGTGTACGATGGGCTCAGCGTCACCATGAATTCAAAGCTGCTGAATGGCTCCCAGCGAGTGGTGGTTGACGGAGTCCTCTCCGACGAGGAGTGCAGAGAACTGCAGAGACTGACAAACGTGAGTCACGGGTCCCTCTAGTTGAGGAGCGCTCTGCTTTGGTGGCAGCCGTGGCAGGTCTCTGGCCAGCCTGCCTCAGGCGCCAGGATGCCTGCTCGAAAGACGGGTGTCGAAGTATTTTAAATCAGCCTCTTTCCACTTGCTACTTGACAGCTGTGTACAGATGTTACATAGGAAGAGCAGTGAGCCTGCTGGGGATCCACACTAATGTACAGATTTGCAGGTGCCACTAGTACTTCCTGTTTGCACAGCCAGCTGTTCCTGGAGAGTGCTGATTGGCTGGCATGTGGCAATCACAACACGCCCTCTCCCTCTGGATGCACACAGTGCTACATGCCAGCCAATCAGCAATCACAACACCCCCTCCCTCTCCTGCTGGCTGCACAGAGAGAGTTGATTGGTTGGCATGTGGCAGTCACAACATGCCCTTTCCCTCTGGGTGCACACAGTGCTACATGCCAGCCAGTCAGCAATCACAACACCCCCTCCCTTTCCCTCTGGATGCACACAGTGCTACATGCCAGACAGTCAGCAATCACAACACCCCCTCCCTTTCCCTCTGGATGCACACAGTGCTACATGCCAGACAGTCAGCAATCATAACACCCCCTCCCTTTCCTGCACAGTGTCACAACACACCCTCTCCCTCTGGATGCATGGTGCCTCATGCCAGCCAATCAGCAATCACAATGCCCCCTCCCTCTCCGGCTGGCTGCCCGGAGAGTGCTGATTGGCTGGCATGTGGCAATCACAACACGCCCTCTCCCTCTGGCTGCACAGTGCCACATGGCAGCCAGTCAGCAATCACAACGCCCCTTCCCTCTCCTGCTGGCTGCACAGAGAGTGCTGATTGGCCAGCATGTGACATTGTGCAGCCAGAGGGAAAGGGCGAGTTGTGATTGCCACATCGCTGGCCAATTAGCGGCCACAACACTCCCTCCCTCTCCTGCAGACTGCACAGAATGCAGGAGGGCAGGCATGTGGCAGTCACAACACGCCCTCTCCCTCTGGCTGCACAGTGCCAGTCAGCAATCACAGCACCCCCTCCCTCTCCTGAGGGGAGGGGTGTTGTGATTGGCTGGCACTGGACACTCTGAACAGCTTGCCGGTGGGCAGAAGGTGGCTTTGTGATGGTCCCGTGTCAGCCCGTCAGCAGCCACAAACACCGACCATCCCAGAGTGCTGACTGGTTGCTCCTTTGCGGCAGTGGCAAAGCCGCCGTCCTTGCAGCCCGGGGCTAACTTCCAACATGGAGCCAGCCCAACAAAACAATCTTAAACGCGTGCATTAATAAAATGTCATACAATAACGTTAATTCTTTCCCCGCCCCAGGCAGCTGCCTCCGCTGGGGACGGCTATCGTGGGATGTCCTCCCCTCACACGCCTAGCGAGACCTTTTATGGTGTGACCGTCTATAAAGCCCTTAAGGTAGGCTGGAAAGAACTGCACGTGCCAAAGTTTGTACCTGCGGATTAAGCAGTTTGAGATGTCGTTATTTCAGAATGGCGTACGTCATTTCGGTGTGTGTTTAGATGTTTTTATTATTACGGTCTTAAGACCAGCCTACAATCAGGGCTATTTTTGGGCAGGAACGCACAGGAACGGAGTTCCGTCTGGCTCCCGAGTTGGCCACGCCCAGCAGGAACTCATTAGCATAATAGGCCACACCCAACAGCAGAAACTCATTAGGATTGGCTACAATTAGGGGTGTGTGGCCTAACATGCAAGGGAGTTCCTGCTACAAAAAAAGGCCCTGGGTTTTGACAACAAACAAGGTAAACAGAATAACAAGCAAAAGGTGGGTGTGGCTGGATGAGCACACTTCTGGTAACATGGGGGTGCGGCCTAATGGGCTAATGAGCTGTGCTGTCAGGGGTGTGGCCTAATATGCTAATGAGTTTCTGCTGTGGAGTGTGGCCTATTATTCTCATGAGTTCCTGCTGGGCTTTTTCTACAGAAAGAGCCCTGCCTACAATATAAACCTAATATGGGAAAGCATAAATAGTTTTCAGCAGCTGTTGGGAGGACTGTTAATGCGTGGTCTTAGGAACTCTTTCGAGGTATTCCTCCAGCTCTTGGAAGTGGCTGCTTATGCTCAAAGTCATCCGGTGCCCATGAGACATTGCCCTAACTCCAAGGGAGGCTTTGAAAGAGTAGGGGGATTTGTCAGACTTCTGGTAGTGTGGAGGGTCCGGGGTAGAGGCAGGGGGAAAGGTAGTGCAGGTGACTGCATTTTCACTGCAGGTGCATATTTGGGGAGTCGGCATCAGTAGGGTGGTGGAGGCAGGGATGTCTTTTGCCCACGATCTGGGCCGCTCACGCTCTCTTCTCCACAGCTGGGACAGGAAGGCAAAGTGCCGATGCGCGGAGCGTACCTCTATTACAATGTGACCGAGAAGGTCCGCCACGTGATGGAGTCCTACTTCCGCCTGGACGTGCCGCTCCACTTCTCCTACTCTCACCTGGTGTGCCGCACAGCTATAGACGGTAAGTGAGGTCTCTGCTTGGGAGCTTTCACGCTTGCCTGGCCCGTAAGCTACGGCGGGGCTGTTGGGGGCTCTGCCCCCTTCCTTAAAGAGCCAGACCCCTTCCTTAAAGTGCTTCCGCTTCTTAAAGGCCCCCTCGTTTTCCACAAAAGCATTTGAAGGGATCCTTTAAATGCTTATGAGAAGAAGCAGGGGGTGGCGCACGCCCCTCTCCCTCCCCTCCTGCAAGATTTAAAGAGCCCTGCAGCCCTCCATTATGGCAAATAACGGCAGCCCCACCAGAAAAAAAAATCTGCCCCACAAGCCACAAAATCCCGACTACGGACCTGAAGCTTGCCACAAGGGCTAGCGGACTAGATGCTTGTACAGTTTTGTCCTGCTTTAGGAGTGGTTTGGTTGGCTTAAATGAGAGGAGACGCTCAGGATGCTGAGTGCTCCATCTGCTGGCAGAACGGCAGAATGCAGCCTTACATTGCGAAGGCATTTAACGATTCTTCTCTCTCCTCCTCCCTGTCTCCTGTGCAGAGAAGCAGGAGGACCGAACAGATCCCAGCCACCCTGTTCACGTGGACAACTGCATCCTTAACGCAGAGGCCCTGGAGTGTGTCAAGGAGCCACCAGCATATACGTTTCGAGATTACAGGTACCAGCTGCAGGGAGAATGAAACGGGGCCGCCATTGGTGGGGTGGTTACGACCTCTGCCTGCCGAGCCTTTTTGCCTCTAGAACCTCAAGTTTCCCCAAGTAGCCTGTAGATTAATTCTTCTAAGAATCCACACATCCCCTTTGGAACCACGCTTATTAGAGGGGTTGACAACTCTGTTGGGAAATTCTGGATATTTGGGGGCGGAGTCTGGGGGTGAAGGAGGAGAGGGAGCTACGTGGGGTATCGTGCCATGGAGCCCACCCTTCAAAGAGGCCATTTTCTCTGTAGTCTAGAGCTCAGTTGCAAGTCCAAGAGATCTCCGAGGCTCCACTTGGAGGTTACAATCCAGAGAGATCCACGGACACAAGACACCATCAAATGAAAGGGCTTGTGCTATGGTAAAACCAGGGCTATTTTTGGGCAGGAACGCACAGGAACGGAGTTCCGGCTGGCTCCCAAGTTGGCCACGCCCAGCAGGAACTCATTAGCATAATAAGCCACACCCAACAGCAGAAACGCATTAAGATTGGTTACATTAGGGGTGTGTGGCCTAACATGCAAAGGAGTTCCTACTACAAAAAAGGCCTTGGGTTTTGACCACAAACAAGGTAAACAGAATAAGAAGCAAAAGGTGGGTGTGGCTGGATGACCACACTTCTGGTAACATGGGGGTGTGGCCTAATGCGCTAATGAGCTGTGCTGTCAGGGGTGTGGCCTAATATGCTAATACGTTCCTGCTGTTGGGTGTGGCCTATTATGCTAATCCTGCTGGGCTTTTTCTACAAAAAGAGCCCTGGGTAAAACCCTCTTATGTCCTTTGTCCTTCCAAATCCAATTCTTGCAGATAGTTTACCACAGCACAGGCACTTTCATCTGTTGAAGGCCCTTTGCAAGCACTTTCATTTATCATTCTGCCGCCGACTTTTCTAGGTGCTCTTTGATGGCTCTGGGACTCAGATTCCGGAGTCACACAGAGGTCGTTTTGCAAACTAGACCCTCCCGAAAAAGCAAGCGGGAGGTGGGTTCGCCCCCTCCTCTTCCCCGCCCATTGAAGCAGGAGGGTGCTGAAAGCTGCGTTCTTGTTTCCAATCTCTGTAGTGCCATCCTCTATTTAAACGGGGACTTTGAGGGTGGAAACTTTTACTTCACCGAGCTGGACGCCAAAACAGTAACGGTAAGGAAGTCGTTCCTTCGTACCCCTGGAGACAGCAGTACTCGGTGCTTCAAAACGGGTTCAGGGGAGCGGGGAAATGTCCATTAAGTTAACTCGAGCTTTAAGAACTTAAGAACATAAGAGATGCCAATGTTGGATCAGGCCAAAGGCCCATCCAGTCCAACACTCTGTATCACACAGTGGCCAGAAATACCAGTGCCATCAGGAGGTCCACCAGTGGGGCCAGGACATTAGAAGCCCTCCCACTGTTGACCCTCCTCCAAGCACCAAGATGACAGAGCATCAGTTGCCCCAGCGCCCCTATCTATACCGTGTGGCTATTAGCCAATGATGGACCTCTGCTCCAGATGCTTATCTAATTCCCTTTTGAAGCCGTCCATGCTTTGGTGTGTGAGTTGCGCTGGGTCGAGATACGTCGCTGCCCCTGAAGTGCATGCTTCTGAGAGGTGACAGTGGGCCCATCTGATATTCAGCACCTTTTCCCTGTACACTGGATCTGGTTGGGAACAAGATGAGCGAAGGGGGGGAGGGGAGACCCCGGTTCAAACCTCCATTCAGGCATGGTTGCCCATCTTTGTTGGCCTAACCTACCCCTCTGGTCGGGGGCCGCGGTAATGACAGAGCATCAGTTGCCCCAGCGCCCCTATCTATACCGTGTGGCTATTAGCCAATGATGGACCTCTGCTCCAGATGCTTATATAATTCCCTTTTGAAGCCGTCCATGCTTTGGTGTGTGAGCTTTGGTGTGTGAGTTGCACTGGGTCGAGATACGTCGCTGCCCCTGAAGTGCATGCTTCTGAGAGGTGACAGTGGGCCCATCTGATATTCAGCACCTTTTCCCTGTACACTGGATCTGGTTGGGAACAAGATGAGCGAAGGGGGGGAGGGGAGACCCCGGTTCAAACCTCCATTCAGGCATGGTTGCCCATCTTTGTTGGCCTAACCTACCCCTCTGGTCGGGGGCCGCGGTAGCTCGGAGGTTAAGACGCTGAGCTGCAGACCGGAAGGTCGGTAGCTCGGCAGTTCGAGACCCGAGTGCCGCGTGACGGAGTGAGCTCCCATCTCTGGCCCCAGCTCCTGCCAACCTAGCAGTTCGAAAGCAAGAAATTCCAAGCAGATAAATGGGTACCGCTGCGGTGGGGAAGTTAACCGCATTCCGTACACCTTGGCGTTTAATCATGCCGGCCACCTGACCACGGAAACGTCTTCGGACAGCGCTGGCTCTTCGGCTTGGAAACGGAGATGAGCACCGCCCCCTAGAGTCGGATTCGACTGGCTTTCGAGCAAGGAAAACCTTTACCTTTTACCTCTCTGGGCAGGAGGGTTCCGGACAGGAGAAGCATCCAGATATGTAGGCATCCCCTCTGAAATGGTGCAATCCAGGAAGGGCCACACAGTGTGATGTTTCTGTAGCTTTGGTCTATGCCAAAGGAAAAGGCGGGGGGGGGGCTTCAGTATGGGGTACTCAGCAGTTCCTTCCTGGATCCCTGTGTTGTGTTTTCAGGCTGAAGTGCAGCCCCAGTGTGGCCGAGCAGTGGGGTTCTCCTCAGGCTCCGAAAACCCTCATGGAGTGAAAGCTGTAACCAAGGGTCAGCGCTGCGCCATTGCCCTGTGGTTCACCCTGGACCCTCGCCACAGCGAACGGGTGAGTAACAGCAGCCGTCTACTATAACCTCCCCTTTCTGTATTTCTCTCCTCCAAGCATTTCTCCACCTTTTCCACATCCAGAGCTTGTTTCACCGTTCACTGTGAAGCAGCCATTAAAAACCCGCAACAAGAAAAGCTGGCCTTTCTGCTGTAACTCTGCAGCTCAAGCCAATTTGCATGATTCCTCTTCCTCGGCACCTTTTGCATCTCTTACCTGTCCATTCGAATGAAACTCTCCCCGGTATGTCCTTGATTTGGTGCTCGTTTTAGTGAGTATTCCCCTACGATAGCTCTTTTTAACCTTTCTATACGGCACTTAATAAGGCATTATTGGAAGACGTTCCGGACAGTGTTCCCTCTAAGCTGAGTTAGTGTGAGCTAGCTCACAGTCTTTTAGCCTCCAGCTCACAGATCTTTGTCTTAGCTCAGGAAGGATGGCTCCCGAGCAAACTAGTTTATGCAGTCGCCAAATCGCTCACTCACAACTAACGTCGGTAGCTCACAAAGTAGAATTTTTGCTCACAACTCCACAACCCTTCCATGCTCACTACCAAAGCCTGTCCCCCTCACAAGCGCTCTGTGTCTTCTGCAGGACCGGGTGCAGGCCGATGACCTAGTGCGCATGCTCTTCAATACGGAAGAGACCGAACTACCTCCAGAGCAGGCGACGGCGGCAACCCCAGCCCCTCCTCCAGGCCTGACGGAAGTTCCGCAGGCGGGGTCCGCTTCCGGGAAAGACGAACTGTAGCTTGCTGCTGCCTCTGCAGAGTCCAGCTGGGCTTGATCCAGGCGACAAGGAGGACTCGGGTGTTGGAAACCGCCACGGACAGCATCCTGTGGAGGGGGGCCCTCTTATGGCACGGACAACAGATGGATCGTAACCACCTCCCCAAGGGCGGGGAGCAGGGTGTGCTTCCCTGGGCACTGCTGCAATACTCCGAAAAGGGGCTCGGGGGGAGAGAATATCTTCTGCTGCCTTTCTCTCCCTGGCTCCGGGGTACACTTTCTGCCCCCAGAGTGCCTTATTTCGTCCCCAAGCCAAAGTCTTTTGATACAGTTCTTTTCCCCCCAAAGTGTCTTCATGGCTGGGATGATTCCTGGCTTCTGCATGAAGAGAGGCCCCCCAGCTAGAGGCGAGCTAGTCCCCTGTGGCCTGCAGGGCTGGCATGGGGGAGCAGAGGAAGCCTTGTACTTGGACCAGGGTGCTGATCCTGGCTCAGCCATGATGACGCTCGTCGGGTGACTAGCCCGCCTCCCAGGGCTGTCGTGAGGATGCCCAACATACGCGGCTGGGAGTTCCATGGGTGGGGGGAATGTACTCAGATGAAATGGCTGCCGATTTCCATTACCCCACAGGTTGGTAAATTAAAGAAGACAAACCTCCGCCTCTGATATATCATTTTGACATAACGAATGGCTCGCATCATATTAGGGAGACCTGGGTTCAGATCCCCACTAGCGTGACGCTCCCTTGGTGACTCTAAACCAATCAGTTTCTAAAAAACCCCCTGGGTGAACAGCAATGATTAAGGCTGCAAGCCTCCAGGTGGGGCCTGGAGAGCTCCTGCTTTTACAATTGATCTGCTGACTACAGAAATCAGTTCACCTGGAGAAAATGGCTGCTTTGAAGGGTGGGTCATCTAGTCCAACCCCCTGCACAATGCACAGAAAATTCACAAATACCTCTCCCTCACACCCCAAGTGACCATGCCCAGAAGATGGCAAAAAAACACCCTCCAGGATCCCTGGCCAAACTGGCCTGGAGAAAAATTGCTTCCTGACCCCAAAATGGTGATCAGTATTTCCAGTGGGCATGTAAGAAAGGGACACAAGAACTAAGCACTGAGGGCAACCCTTCCTGCTCTCCCTCTCATGATCTGCCTAAGTTCACAGAATCAGCATTGCTGTCAGATGGCCATCTAGCCTCCGTTTGAAAACCTCCGAAGAAGGAGAGCCCACCTCCTCCCGAGGAAGCCTGTTCCACTGAGGAACCCCTCTCACTGTCAGGACGTTCTTCCCAATGTTTAGCCAAAAGCTCTTTTGATTTAATTTCAACCCGTTGGTTCTGGTCCGACCTTCTGGGGCCACAGAAAACAACTTGTTTGGCTTCTTGCTTAACATCTCCTTTTCTGAGACATGCTTACCATAAACTTTAACAACAAAATAAAACAAAAAAACCCTCACTGTTATGGAAGCACCAGTTGGCCCTGAAGAAATATTATTTATTTACTTCACCGATCATCCACCTTCCTTGTCCAGATTCAAGGCAGATTAAAGGTAAAGGTTCCTTTGCTCGAAAGCCGGTCGAATCCGACTCTAGGGTTGCGGTGCTCATCTCCGTTTCAAAGCCGAAGAGCCAGCGCTGTCCGAAGACGTTTCCGTGGTCATGTGGCCGGCATGACTAAACACCAAGGCGCACGGAACGCTGTTACCTTCCCACTGAAGTGGTACCTATTTATCTACTTGCAATTTCTTGCTTTCGAACTGCTAGGTTGGCAGGAGCTGGAACTAG